TTAATGAAACTAGCAGAAGTAGTTACTGGCGGACTGGGCAGCTTCAGTCATATTTCATTGGGCCAAGGCCAAGAAAAGGTAAGAAAACAATTGTTATATATTGTATTAGATAAATACAAGTAGATTCATTATATCGTTTCTATTCTTATAGCTTTAAATCTAAAATATAATATTACATAAACATTATTTTGAAAATACATTGTTAGTAGATATTCAAAGTCTGGCATTATATGAGTATGCTGTGTAATACAGTGGGCAACAAATAGAGTAGAATAGGTGTAATAAATATGATTCTACTTATGAGTTTTCCTTAAAGAAGAATCAAAATCCGGAAACATGAAACATTTGACAGCAAAAAACTCAAAAAATTTTGTTGTCATAGTATGGTTAACAAAGTGGGAAGGATTTATCTAAAGCTTTATATTTGTCAAACAAAATTAATTCTAAGAGCTACTTGCTTAATCACCCCGACAAAGGTTGTTCTACTTACTTACATATTTTCGCTGTTTGTGACACTGCGTTCATTTTTGAACTATATATCCTGACAATACAAAATAGTTTTAGTCTGTAGATATAGTACACTTGAAATATCATACATGAATCTAAAGAGAACGCAAACAATCTATCTGGGACTAATTGATGTCCGAACAACATACAATCTAAAAGAAAAAAAATCAGCAAAAAACAATTAATTTTTACTAAAGATTTTATTATTGAGCTGCCAGGTCTATGTGACGATAGTACTTTTTAAATAGAAGAACTAAGAACTACTGGCTACTTACATTAATATGGATTGTGTCGTTCAAAAAGCAGTGAATGTCCACTTTTCAAATAGAAGAACTAAGAATCACTGACTACATACATTAATATGGATTGTGTCGTTCAAAAAGCAGTGAATGTCCACTTTTGATTTTGAAAAGTTTGCTCTCTTTAAAAGTGGTACCCATCCAGATTATAATAAAAACAGTAAATGTTTTTGTTTCTACTTTCAGATTACACTTGAGATTACAACAAAAATAAAATTTTGAAATTTGAGTTGTATCTAAATACACTATAATGTATATTTATATACATGTTTTTATATTTGTTATATTGTATAAACCGATATAGGAGCTTTTTGCCTAATAGAATGTACATCATATAACATACTAAAAATCAACCACAACCAAAATTTATAAACCTATTTCAAATTCGAATTTGTTTCATTTTATATACATTTACATAATATATTATATACCATGCCATTGTATACATTAATTTGTTATAAACTTATATCTTTCAAATGCTTTATTCAATTACAACAAATACTTGTTTACATTTTTGACGTAGGCTGCTATGGGCTTACTAAATAATGCATTACGTCAAGGATACTGGCTTATGTTGCAAAATGCACATTTACTTATCAGTTTTGTGAGGCAATTAGAAAAATATTTGGAAAAAGTTGAAGCTCCGCATCCTGATTTTCGTCTATGGATTACTACAGATCCCACACCAACCTTTCCGATAGGCATATTGCAAAAGTCCCTAAAAGGTAATTTCGATCATTTCACATATTAAGTTTAATATCAAAATTAATTTCTTTATAGTTGTAACGGAACCTCCAAATGGTCTGAAGCTAAACTTGCGTTCAACGTTCTTTAAAATAAGGCAGGATCGCTTGGAGGCATGTTCGCATATAGCGTACAGGCCACTGGTATATGTATTGGCATTCTTCCATGCTGTTGTTCAAGTAAATTTATTTTTATATATACATTATTAATAAGTTAAGAGTTGCAATGAAAATAAGCAGCAGATGTTACGTTGCAGTTGAAAGCAATCAGTACAGCACTCAATAGTCTTCAATTAATCATTCATTTATTATCCTGCATTTTCAGTATTTTCAGTATCATTTTTATAGATGTTTTTACTGTTTATCCTTATTGATTGTTAATAGAGCATTCGCAGCAACATACGCAGTTGCAGTTAATATTTACATTGCCAATTCCTGTTTATATAAACTTCCTGATATATTGTTGTTGCTTCAAACTATTGCAAATGCTATCTAAAGTTTTATTGCTCCATTTCTCGTACCGACACACATGTCCGGCTTTCAATTTAGTACTGAAATTGAGTGCAAATATCTGAGAAACCAGAGCACGCTCGTCCGTAAGCTTTTATTAATGAATATGTTGCAGCAGCAAATTATTATTGACAATTGCTTTAAAATTGCAGCTTCCCCGCCACTGTCATGAACAGCACATGTTACATGCTGCAAATTTGTTAACAATAATCCAAGCATGTTTGAACTGCAAATTGTCTATTTCAGTTTGAACTCTTAGCAGCTTTGTTTTATTGATTAACAATTGCGCTGATGTTGATATTTTGACATTCATATTTGTGAAGTTGAAATTCGATTTATTACTGAAACTACTCCATATTTCAGGAACGTCGCAAATATGATAAATTGGGCTGGAATATATGTTATGATTTCAATGAATCTGATTTCAATGTTTGTCTTGAAATATTGATATCATATCTACTGAAAGCGCCACCTGGCGATACCACTCGTGTGCCATGGAATAGTTTAAAATACCTAATTGGCGAAGTAAGTCTAAAACTTTTTTCTTTACCACACCATCTATTTACACATACGAAAATTTATTAAGAGAAAAAAAAAGATAATTAAAAATAAATAAATAATTTATTTACAATGAAATAATTTTATTTTCTATTTGAAAAGGTCATGTATGGCGGTCGTGTTATTGATGACTTTGATAGACGTGTCACCAACACTTATATGAATGAATATATGGGGGATTTTCTTTTCGATAAATTTCAACCATTCCACTTTTACAGAGATGAAAGTGTTGATTACTTTATACCAGAAGACGACATCATACTCAAGGAAGATTACATTGGTAAGCAACTCTTTGTACGGAAAGTTAGTATTTATACAGCTCTTAATTTATTACAAACTTACAGCACACATTGATGAATTACCTCTGGTTAATAGCCCAGACGTATTCGGATTGCATCCTAATGCCGAAATTGGTTACTACACACAAGCGACTCGTACCATTTGGTTCTATCTTATACAATTGCAGCCCCAAACAGGTAAATTGAATTGTATTTATATAAGAATTTTACATTTCACAGACCATTAATGTTAGCCAACCCCACACTAACAAAAATGTGGTTAAATTAATTATCGTTTGAAACACTTAAAAGCAAAATTTCACATTTAATGTGCCCAGCAATTAACTCTGCACTTTAAATATAATTTAATTTCACTACATTTTATTTTATTTCATTTCATTTTATTTTATTTTATTAATTAGTTGTGGTTTCGCAATTAACTTTATTGCATTACCACACATTAAAAATGAATAATATATATGAAATCAAGAGCTGACATTCAGACTCACATACTCAGTCATACTTTGGATATACTCACTGAAATGCGCACTTTAAAAGGGATAAAACCTGCAATGGAGTGCTTGATTACTTGGTCAAATGATTGTAACTATTTTCACACTTTGATCCTTTTCATGCAACACAGTTTCAGTGGCAGGAAGCCAAATACAACATGACGGTAAAGTAAATACTACAAACAACTTACATGCACGCATATATAAATCTTATGCACATAATTTACAATTACACACATAACTACAAATTTAATTTTTGAAATATTTTATATATAATTCAGAAAGCGCAAAAGTGAATTATATAAAAAATTAATATTTGTGGTCATTAAGAGAATTAATTATAATTACCATTTCTTGCAATTAGTTTCTATTGGACTTTAGTAGGTTTCAATAGTCAAAAAAATAATGCAATGAAATATTATATTGTCGAATGTTACACCGGATGATAATAGTCAATCATATAACAATAAATATAATAAATGACATTGAGACGATGCTGCGTACAGTGGAAAATATTGTTATACACATGATACTAAAAGGACTAACATTTGTTAGAAATAATATAAAACGTATATTCCTCCTTAACAGTTCTATGAACGACTACATCCCAATCAATAATTCATTTCTCATCAATAGGTGAAACCCAATTACCTAACAATATGTTTTGATTCCACAATTTTTCGTAATAGTGGGTAGAAGATGGGTTATACTAGAACCAGCCAAAATCATTCATAAATGCGAAAATCTGACCAACGGTAATGTTGATAATATCCCCGAGTGTGTTGAAGAGTGGGGCACAAAATAGCTTAAGACTGCTTCAAGATGAGCCTAGATATAAACACAACAGGTTGTGTCTACTAAGAGTGCCAGTAGACAGGTACTATAGAGCATGTAGGTCAACAGTTTTTTGCCCTGTTAGAACAGATATTAAGTAACGTACTTCGGTTTTGTTTCTGTATACAAAGTTAAAGGTTCTACTTTTTGAGTAAAATGGCCAAATAGCCATTAATCTGGTTATTTTGTCCTTGTTCTTGGAACTTGACTACTACGCTCTTGATCGGAATTATAAATACCGATTTTGCTACTATCTTATTATTAACTCCATCTTATTAACTCCGAAAAAAAATATAAATTTGAACAATAAAAGTTTAGTGCAGTTTTGGCTCGTTTGGTTAATAAACACGCTAGTTATTGCTTCTAAATCAATAGATTTAAACCGCTAAGGCTGGCAACTTCAGACCAACAAGACCATACAAAATTAATTTCAAAGTACAATGATTATGAGTATTTGGCAATATTTGAAAACAAATTTTTAGATGTAGTACCAAGCAAAGTAGTGTAATAATATTATTTTAAAAAAGTCAGTTAAAGTAAAACTTAGCTCTAGCCATAAAACCTAAAGTAAACCAAATCTTACGATAGTTTCATTAATAAGCTTTTGTTACAGGTATAACTATATAGTAAGAATAGTATTAGTTACTAAAACGAAAACTACTACAATATTACTTACTGACTCTGTTGATTCTAATAAGCTATGGTCGAGTGAACGTTTTCAAACTAAGCAGTAAATACTCACCACTCTTCTGCTTCGTATATGGTTTTTTTATTTTCACATAATTCGTACATTAAAGTTATTACTCCGTCAACTTCTATAGTGAACTGAAGACCTGGTCATTTCATATGTTTTCATAATAAAACCAAAGCCAAAGGATATTTATTTGCTGTATAACGTCAACTTAGTCATAAAGTTAGCTGCTATTCGTTACCAATTTATAGAGAATGTTCGATTTTATGAAGGAGATGGTAATCAGACAATGCGAGGTCTGGAGTATACTGTAGGGATGCATTATAACTTCTCTACCAAATTTCGTCAATATATTTTAAACAATCAAAGATGTGTTGGGCATGAATTCGTCATGATGGAACACAATTTTATTTCTGTTTGCTAATTCCGGTCACTTTTCATTAATTGTTTAGTACAAGCGGTCAAATTGTATGCAGTAGAAGAATCAGTTAATCGTTGCATAGCATAGAATAGCTCGTTATAGACAGTTATCTTCCAGTCCTACCAAAGCAAGTTTTATTTGCCGTCAATTCATGCTTTGAAGTCGTTTATGGAAGGTCACTGAGCTTTCTCATATTTTATCCATTTTTCAACGCCTCTCATTCCTTCATACATTGGGGAGTCGTTATCTTCTTTCGGCCTTGAATGTATACTGATCTAAGTCTATGTACATACCAATGCCATTCCTATTTACCACAATGGGCCATCATTTGAGCTCAAGTGGGCTCTTTGGAATACAATGCCGCCACTCCAACCTAACCTAACCATCCCCTAATAAATGGTTTTATTTGATTAATTTAAGCAAAATTTATTCTTTACAGACCCAGAAAATTCAATAAAATCAGAATCATATTCTTTTATACTATTCTTTTATATTCAATTATACTGGCTCACGTTGAATAGGTATAATTAAAATAATCCAATGCAACAAAATTGTTCTAATCAACGATGAAATTTGAATATTGTATAATTGAGATTCAAGTGATACTTAAATTGTTACATTTAAATGAGCGATTTATATAATAATTTATATAATTTTTATTACTGAATTAAATAGACAGGCAGTTACATTAAATCTATGCAATTTATGAAAACTGAATGCAACTTAATCCTTTCTAAGTGCAGTTGAGTGCTGTTGACAATATTTGAATATTTGCATTCACGGTCCAACACGCGTTGTAAATTGAAAATAACTTAATTTGGAAATATTTTATAAATTAATTAATAAGAACTATTCACATACCCGCCATTCAAATACTAATACTAATGGCGCATTGTGACAACGAATTTATGTACTGAAATTTAAAAAAATTAGTAAAGGGAAATACAAATAAACAACTTTAAAATTTGAAGTTTATAAATTGAACGGAAATAAATCAAAACAAAATAAAATTAAATTAAATTGAATGAAAATATTTTGAAATACTACATCCTGTCGTTTGAAGCCGAAACCGAAGCTGGAGCTGGAACTGGAGATGGGGCTGCCACTATCGGATGCACAAACAAAAAGCGGAAACACATGCTAAACTGTGCTAATAAATGCATGTGTAATAATGGTTTTCCATGTTCTGTGCAAATATGAAAACCAAACGTTATCGGCATAATTTTACGCTAATTAGCACAGCCCAATTTTAAATTATATTTTCAAATTTATTTTAATTTTCATTAAAAAAAAGGCATAGTCACTCGTATTTGCCAGACTCTAATATTGAGTAAATCTCACAGTATGTGAAAACTGTGATATATGTTTCTACTATATTCGAAACTACTATGTGTACGAGTACTTCAGTTAATATTGACAAAATCGTGGGGCAAAAACCATGAAAACCTCCTGAAATAAAAAAAAATAAATAAATTTTCAATATATTTTATGATGGCACGCAAAAATAATTTTACAATAATTTATGCAAAAAGTGAGTCTGATGAACCTAAACTAAATGCTTTTGCGGTTAGTTATGAATTCGGTATGATAAATGACTCTCCATTCGAAAGATTTAAGTGTTTATACTAACTGCATACAATTTTAAATTAAAATTTAATTCCATAGAAAATAATATTATATTATGTGAGTTTTTGAACTGCATCTAAATTAAAATTAAAATAAATAATATAATAGAAACTATAATTTTTCTAAATAAATAAAATTTTGAATTAACTCGGAATGGTATTCTTGTATTTATTTAGTTTAATTTAAAACATACCATATTTCTTCGTTGTAAAATAGTTAGTGTCAAATAAATATTTGTTATAGTCTTAAATTAAGAATGTAAATAAATTTGACTTGTACATAAGAAATGCCTTAAGATATAATTAAATAAACTTCTTAACAAGCAACATAAATTATTTATCTAGTACCTAATCAATAAAAGTTCAGATACAAGATTACAATTGATTCAAAAAATAATTGATTTTGCTTAACGAAATCAGTATTTAATTACACATCAATCAATTTTGATTATAATTTTGCACATTTCCTCCATACCAGGTGAGGCTTCGGGTGGAATTAGCAGAGACGACTTCATAGATAACGTTGCTGCGGATATACTTCACAAGCTGCCTCAAGCATTTGAAGTTTGGCGCATTAAAAAACAGCTTGCCATGACTATGACACCGACTGGAGTGGTTTTGGTACAAGAGTTGGATCGCTTCAATTTGCTTGTATTGCGTATGAAAAGAACATTGGATTTATTAAGAAAGGTGAGTAGAATTTATATGTTTTATAAAATAATTTGATTATTTTTAACCATTTAAAAACATAATGAAATCATAATTCATGATTTGGAAACCATATTCGCATATATAAGATACATTAAATTTTCCAAACCCAAAAGAGTATGAACAAAAAATTTGAATTAAGGATTAACTAAATTTATGGGAATTAAATTTGGGATACTCGTATATGTCATATATTTCTAAACAACATTACTAATATTATGTTTTCAACTAAATAATTTGCAAGAAAGTCAATAAGCATATCTCAATTTAAATTTGGAATTATTAACACTCCTATAGAACACTTAGTAATAAAATGTTATTTAAGTATTACTGTATAAGTTTATATATCAAAACCATTACAACTATATAGTTTTAAACGAAACCTGTTTAAACTTTAATACGTTTATTTCAAATAACTGCAATCTATTACTTTAATTTTCTGTGTGTAATTTTTGAACCATACTTAATTTTTGGAGATATTCAACACAGTCAGTCCAACAATTCAATTGAATAAAATTAAAATATTTATTGGATATAAAAATATCCTCTTTTGTATTCGAAATGAATTTCTTATTACAGGACATAAAAGTCTTAATTAGCGATTTCAATAGCCTGTTTAATCATTCCTGTCGCAGTCGTGAAGAGGGCTTTCAAAGTCAAACTGAAAGTGCCACATATGTTTTGTTACTGACCAGCGCATACGAAACAGTGATTGACTATGGATCTAAAAAGTAAACAGCATTTTAGGCATCGCCAAACCGGAAAGGTTGTTTTCAAACCTCTGATTTCTTCACACGGTAAAAAAATGGATCAATAAGCTTAAATAGATTCTTAGAATCGCCAGTCTAATCTAATCTAGACTAATAATAGTTTTTAAATAAATAACTTAAAATTCGGTTAAGTTTTTAAAATATTTTACTTAAAACTTTAAAGCTTATATTGTTTAATTTATTAATGTGCTTATGAAGAATTTTACAATTCATCAAACTCATCTAATTTGCGTATGATAACCAGTAAATTAAATATCACAGATCAAAGAATCATAGATAAGAGAATCAACAATTTTTTTTTGTTGAATATAATAATTATAATTATTCTTTTATATGTCAGTATAGCAGTATTAATGTTATGATTGTCGTTTTGAAATGGTATAACACCGCGACCATACAATATATTATACTCACTCCATCAAGTAGAGTATATCTCTCATTTCTTGTTCTTCAATAAGAAGAACAAGAAATGATGTTTTTCGAGTTAAAATTCAGCATCGGACATCTTATATTCGAAAAGTACTTCTCTCGTTGCGAAGAGCCTGCACAGCACGTGTTTAATAATCTAATTTTGCATATCCTACAAACCCTGTTAGAGAAGATTTATTTATATGTCAAATCAATCTCTGATGAAACTTCTGCTGTCATTTTTCATTACAGCATATTTCATTTTTATTTAGTTTTAACTATAATGGTTACCAGTATTAAAGAATTGCTCTTCATGCCAGTGAAAGTTGCCGATGTCGAAAAATAAATATGTTCCATACAATTGCCTTAATTACTTTCACTGACTACTGGTACTGTCGGGCACTCAGTTTCCGAGACGCTGGATCGTGATCAGTGCATATGCATTGATCACTAACAACTATAAATATAATGATATATAAGTGATATCAATTAATACTTAAAATGGACAATGCGTATTTTTATCCCAAACTTACTATTACTTTCTTACTATCTCTACCTTTTTCGCATATATATATTTAATAATAGAATTTTCTATATCGTCTAGCAGATATGTATATATGGAGAACATTTATGTCACAATCATATTTTCTAAGAAGAATGCAGTGATATTTTTAAAATTTACTTTGACAATATATTGGTTTAAAACAGTAATGCTTTAAGAAAGTATTATACACTTTAGTTGGGAATTAGATTACAATTACTGTTATTTGAAGCCAATAAACTTCAAAAGTCTTTTTATGGACTCCTTCTTACTTAATTTTATCAAATATTTTTTATTAATATTTTAAATACAAACTACTTAATTAATATTGTGTATTTAACTTTATTTTGAGCTTTTTAAATAAACCAAATTAAAAGTTTAATATTTTCATTAGAAGAATATGAACTCACATGTGTTTAGTAATAATGAAGAAAAGTATCTGAATTACTTTTACTGCAATTGTCCTTTAACCTTAAATGGCTTCAGCACAATTGCTTTTAATTACAAGAAAACAAAAACGAATAATACACTTTACCACATACAAAATACACAATTGGAATGTTGTAATTAAACTTTACAAATTAAAATCAAATTGACATAGAATCGTAAAAACCAAAGTGCAACACTTCTACACTTTTGCGTCTGCAACTTAACATTGATTTTGTATATACTCGACTACTTATACTTATTTGTTCAGAAAACACAGCACTGCTCAGATACAATAAAAATAAATTGTTATTAAGGGAAAATTTTTAGTTCTTATGTGAAAGAATATCACACGAGAGTATTTGCAATGAATTGACCATTCCTAAAGATGGCAAAATGGCGTCATCTAATAATAATATTGTAGAAAAAACTAGTAAATTATGGAAAAAAATTATTCATTTTTTTAGTTCATCTTTTGTCCTTTATGATTGTAAAATTAGTTTAAAAAAATTAAAACTTTAATCATAAATTTCTTTTGATAAGAAGCTATGCGCCTTAGCTGAGAATATTTATGGTTTTAAAATTATGACAACTAATTTGCATTGATTTTTCCAAAATTATTGCTTTTTAATATGAGTTGTGCATTTCCATAAATTATAAATTTCCATAAATAAATATTTCTTGTTTTAATAATATAAGATATTTTATGTAAATGTAATAATTAAATTACTCGTATGTTATGTCAAACAATTTTGAAATAAATATTATTCTCTATGCAAAGGAAGGATTGGGTTTACCACATATTGTTTTATTTTTGCATAAGTCTCAAGAACAAATGGCACAAAAAAGTTAGACACATCATAATAGAAGAATGGAGTACAAATATATTTGTATATATTAAAAATAAGACAGCAAATTTATCTAACAATCCATCTTTCTGCCAAGCCGCTCTGTTGTCAGTTTGGCGGCAATAAGAGCTTGAAGGCGGCATATTTTCGAATACAGTTTTTAAATTGCAAAACAAAAAAATATTGAACTAAAACATGTAAAAAAACAAAACAAAGAAAAAACAAAGTATCTCTTAGATACATTGCCCACACTGCGCTAAATATTTTTCAAATGCTCATATTTACACGCCCACAAATGAATGTATTTGCCTTTTGTGTGAACATTAAAGTTTTTCGGTACACAATTTTTTTATTTGTACTTTTGAGATGCGTAGTCCTGAACCTCAGCAAAAGGCAAACTGCGGTTCCTGCCTTGCCGCTGCCTACATTTCTTTAGCTTAGATGTTAAAACATTTAGCGGAATAAATTTACAATGAACTTTGAACTCTCGTTGGCTACTATTTTACCACTACTACTGTTGTTTGTTTTGTTGCTAGTGCTGCTGCTGGTGCTGCTACCGTTGGTTGTGTCGTTCTGTCGTTGGCAACAGCATTATTTGCATTGCCAACATGGCACCAGCAGCAACTATCACAGTTTCTTACTACCAAGCGAATGCAAATGTTTGCTCAAATAATCGTCAAAAGGGCATTTCGGTTGGTTTTGTTGGTGAAAGAGATTGAAATTGTTTACTTGGAAATTGTACACAAGTGCAAGCGGCACTTGCTTAAGAACCCCAAACCACAACAGCAAGAGTTGCAGCAATGCTACCCCAATATGCGGTACTGCCAACTACTCTAAGGACTTTTATGTGGGAAAAAAATTATCATGATTCGTACTGAAATATCTCACAATGAAAATAATTATTTAATTTGAATTGCATTTTTAATTAGAAGTACAATTTTCTACACAATTATAGGCGATTGCTGGTGAGATTGGTATGGACAATGTACTCGATAATATCGCAAATTCGTTATTCAATGGCATGTTGCCAGACAATTGGCGAAAACTGGCGCCGGCTACGTGTAAGCAACTTGGCAGTTGGTTAGAACATTTACAGGTAAATACAATATCGAAAACAATAAAAAACAATACATGTTTTTTATTTTGAATTTAATACAAAATTTTTAATAAAATACAAAGAATAATGACTTTGTTGGATTCCAATTTGTTATATTCTACTTTACAATTTATTTTATTATGCGAGTATGTTTAAATTCTATAACTATAGAATTACTATTACTATATGTCACTATATTATTATTATTTACTATTATTATTAATTATTGAATGATTCATATATTATTATATGCTATATATTATTATTAGTAGTTATACTGTTAATATTACTATATT